CATTAAATTTGAGAGATTAAAATTATAAATTTTATACGAATTATAAATAAGAGGATAAAATTATAAATATATAAGTAGATATATTAAATAATAATTAACTTTATAATATTAAAATTATAATTCATATAAGAGTTAGAAAATTTTGGACCATAACCCATCATTTTCAGATAAGATATGCAATACTAGTTATAATAAAGCCTTTTTCTAAAGGGAAATAAGAAGTGACAAGTTTTTGTTGTGTTATGATGAGTGTTATTGGAACAATGCATGATAAAGTTTCCATTGGTTCACTTGGTAACAACACAAGGTGTTAGGGCCATGCTAGCTGTATTAAACAGTTTCAATCTGGAGTTTATAATATTTTTAGGAATTCAAGAATTTTGAGTATATTTGGAAGCAGTGAATGACAGTAACTACAATGCAATAATGGGGTCCTTTCCATGTCATTTGCTCAGTTAGATCCAAGTCAACAAAGTGCAAAATTTTGGTTCACTTTTGGCCCTAAAAGAAAACATAATATATTGGAATCCAACAGCAACATACAAGTGGTAGTTTGTACAAGTCCATCGTGGGACCTGAGTTGCGAAAACTACGAATCAAATTATCAAACACTTTCTGTGTGGAATGCCTTTTATTTCAATCACGTAGTGGCTCCTTTCTCATCAAACGCTTTAGGGTTACTATCCAACGTGTTATTTGATATGTAATTGATACGATGTATTAGAGTTACGAATCCTAAATGTTGTTAAGAATCTTATTTTCTCCGTTATTTTTTACTGTAACAATTTTCTTCCTCATACTAATCATTCCAGAAAATTTTATTATATTTTATTAATTATACCCTCGTGTTTATAATTAATAAATGTGATTTAAATTAATAAATAAGAAAATAAAAATATAACAATTTTTTCGTATACTTTTTTAATAAAATTAGAAATATTTATTATACTCTTTAATACGTGTACATAAAAAAATAATTATAAAAGATAAATAGGAACGAGGAAAGGAAGTATTACTTAATCATTAAGGTGAAACATTTAACGACTGATCTTTTGAGTTTTTTTTTTTAAGCCAACTGAAAAATTAATGTCCCTATATTATATATTATTATTATTGTTTTATTATTATTATTATTATTATTAAACACTATTGCCCTCAATTAAATATTTAATTTGGACTAATAATTTTATTTAATTTTTATATTTATCAAATTTATGTGTAATTTGTATTTTTTATTTGAAATATATATATAAGGCATGACAACGAGGGTAGGGGTGAGGCGAGGCGGGGGCGGGATTTGCCTCCCCGATCCCCGTCCCCGACTATTTTAATCATCTCCGTCCCCGCTCCTCGATCCTCGTCGGGGTTAGAAATTAAGATCATATCCCCTGTCCTCGCTGGGTTTCGAGTTCCTCGTCCCCGCCCGTCCCCGATTTATATTATTTTTAAAAAGATAATTACATTTATAATAAATTAATTTTACTATCTATTTTTTATATATAAATAAATATTTATAATTTATAATTATTATTAATTAAATATACATTTTAATTTATTATATTTATATTAAAATATATGTATGTAAAAAAATATTGAATCATTTTTTATTTATAATATTATTATTATTATAACATTGTATTCAAATATTTGAATATTTATAACACTATTATTATAATATCTGTATTCAAACATTTGATTATATATATATATATATATATATATATATATATATATAAGTTAATTCATTTTTAAGTTATCATTTTAAAATATGAAATATATAGTTTATAAGGAAATATTTAATAAGCTGGTTCTTATTCAATTAGTTCAAAGTAATAAAAATTTAAATTATCAATTCCTTTAATCCTTTAAAATATAATTATTTTATTAAGATAAAATTTGATATATGATAAATAAGAATAATAAGATAAAAAATATGACATAATAAAACCTAATAAATATAAATTATAAATAAAATAATATTAGTTACTACTAAGATTTATATAAAATATTTTAAAAAAGATAAAGAATAAAAAAAATAACTTTGTGTTCATCAAATTGGTTGAAAAGATTGAAAAAAAAAATTGATGGGAGAGATTAAGGAAATGTGAAAAAACTGAAAGGTAAGAGAAAGAATAATGTAATAAATTAATTGATATAAAAGATTAAAAAAGACAAAAAAATTAAAAAGTGGGTAGAAGAAAAAAATTGGTGAAATATAAAAAAATGACCTTACATGTAATAGAAAAAGAAAAAGGAAATACTTTTAAAATATTAATATTTTAAAATTTAAATTTAAATATAAAGTCGGGCGGAGATAGGGACGGGGTGGGGATTGCATTACCCATCCCCGCCCCGCCCGACTTTTAAAGCGAGAAAACCCAAACCCGCCCGCCTGCCTCGGTCAACTTCGGGTTTTCCCAGTCAAACTCGGGACGGGGACGGGTTTAATTGCCAAGCATATATATATATATATATATATATATATATATATATAATTGGTAGGTGAATATATATAATCATTTATATAGTTTTAGATTAATTTTTAAAATAGTTTTTACAATTATTTCAAATTTTATAAAATAATTATTTTATATTAATTTATATTTAAATTATATTATATATATTTTTTAAATATTTTTATCATTTATTTATTCTATTATTTTTTAATAAGTCAATTAATCTTGATTAGTTAAATTTTCTTTATTATTTTTTGTTACTTTTATTAATTATTTAAATAAGATTTCTATCAGTTTATGTCCTTTAAATTTATTTATTGTTTTTATATAATTTATTTCTCTCTTCATGAGTTTTTTTTTATTTTTCTCTAAAAGGAAAAAATAATAATGAGGAGAATGAGAAAAGAGAAAACTATTATATGAAAAAGGTATATTGTTTATATATAAAAAATAAATAAGTCTAATTAAATAATATTTTACTTAAATAAATATTTTTTAAAAATGTATATATTGATGGGATTGATTATCAAACATTTACTTTATCATCCTCTTTCTTTCATTTTACTTGCACTCCATTAGACTGAGTTATGTTGACTCCCTCTCACAACCCTAACCAAAAACCATCCAAACCGTGTTGTGGAAAAGGGAGCCAAAGTTCGAAGATTGAACAGAAGAAGAAAAGGCCATTGAATTTTGACCGTGTGAGCTTTACCACGTTTTATGCATCCATCCATGCGAAGTGTTACACATTTTTAAACATAAAAAAGTTTTGAATATTTATTTTGCACCTGTTGTCCGTGTGAATTTGATTCTTAAACTTTACACACAAATTAGTAAGGTGATTTTTGGCACGTGTTTTCACCCTCAACTTTCATGCTAGTAGTACCAGTAAAAGGGCTCTTCTTTTTTATCAACAAGAAAACGTAGACCGTACTTCAAAATTCTCCTGCTTCTTGTCCACACGGAAACTAATCATACTATTTTATTTATCTTCAAGTTGACATGAATCAGAATCAACCCAGATTTACTCAAAACCCTTATTTTCATTTTTAAGTTGAGATTTCTCCTCCCAACCACCCAAAATAACTATTATTTTTTAAAATACATTTTCAAATTGACATAAAAAAATTGATGTGAAATATAGATTTAGAATAGATCCAATAGATAAAAGCCAAGAAAAAATAGATTATAATGGTTTTATGATATACATTCACCAAATAAAACTCTCTAACTAAATGTAACTTCAAAATTAATCGTACCATTCTAATCACCACTTACATAAAACTATTAAACATGAAATGTGGAAAAGCAATAATAGACAACCATTATAATATATTATTCATAATAACATCTTTTCTTGGATTTATTCTATGAAAATATGTAAAAACCTTTATAAAAATTTCTACAAGATGAAAAAAATACTTTTTCATCATATTATTTGTATTAAAAACATATATAAATATAATAATAAGATAATAGATTTAATCTTATATTTTATAATTATCCTTTTTTAATCAAAATACTATTTTCTTAAACTTGTAATTTTTTTTAATGAAACAATTTATAATTTAGCGACAATATAATATTATTTATATTTTTAATATACAATAATAAAATTATTCATTTTTTTAATAAAAATATATTTTTTGTATTTTAAAAATTCATTTTAAATTTTTATAATTTCTATGTTTTAGTCGATAGTATATTCTTAAATACAACAAAGAAAATGAGATTATTTTATTAAAAAAATAATGTGAATGTGATAGAGGAGTGAAGTGCAATTGGATTGTGTTTCATGGAAGCTTACTTTCTTTGACCACCACCTTTACATGGGGTTTTCTGATTTCTGCTCGCTGTAGGAGGAGAAACGAAATGTAAACGCAACCTTTACAAACAAACACTTTCCCACTAAACTCAAAAGAACAATTCAAACCGCAAAGCTTTGAATTCCACAACCAAGTCGTGGGTCATGGTCGCTTCGTGGATATGTATGTTGGGAAAACAAAAAACAGTAACCTAGTATATGCATACTCCAACATTTGTTTTCCGATTCGAAGATGTGATGGAAGATTCGTTGTGGAATTCAAAGACTGCTCTCGTTTCTCTCACTTTCAAGTCTCTGACACGTTTGAACTTTCAAAGCACGCAGATTGAGGAGTAGTATTTGTCTTTATAAAGCCAAGAGGATCCATTGCGATAAACCCATCTTCATTTGTTTGTTGCTGTAGTCAGACTTCAATTATATTCAGCAACAACTAACATAGCAAAGATATTTAATAATTCTTGACACACTACAAGAACAACAACGGTAAATCCTTGTTTGAACCTTTTTTTATCACATGTTCATTAATTTGCCCATAGGAACTAAGACATCATTGTTTGATTCATTTCTTTGCTTTTTCTCCTCTCACAAAAGATTTCTTATTACAAATTAAAACGACTCTAAAATTTGTGGGGGTATGATTTTCTTTTTTGTGCAGACAAATTGAAGTGCATCGCACTATGGGATTATCACTTTCCTTGCTCCAATCTGCGTGGGAAGAAATGGCCAGACGCTTTCTCTTTGATCTGCCTCTCAATGTCAGCTTTGCTTCCAAAGATGGGACTTTGATTTTAAGGGCATCGAGCTTCAAGAAAGAGGACTCAAAAACTGCTAATGTTTTGTCAAACGGATCCAGAAGTTCGAACCGGTTGAGGGATAACAGACCCCAACATGTGATCCTTGAAAGAAACTGTTCGCTTGTTCAAGATGAGGAAAACATGGACTGGGATACTCTTGCAAGCAATGGTCAATTGAAACATAAATCAGTGCCTGTGCTTTCTCTACCTGAAGCAGCAATTTTCTCTCCCTCTAGACCTGCCTTTGATCTTGATGCAGCTGCAACCAAACTCCAAAAAGTCTACAAGAGTTACCGTACTCGAAGAAACCTTGCAGATTGTGCAGTGGTCGTGGAAGAGCTATGGTAAGTCTCAATAAAAAAAATGCAGGAATAATTGTACAAGTAATTATGGAAATTAAACTCTTATATTCTATTTTAGTAGTATGTGTGTATATTTGTTCAAAAGCCTTCTAGTCTAGTTAAACATGTTGTTGATTTACATGTTTTAAATGATGCAGGTGGAAGGCATTGGATTTTGCAGCTCTTAAAAGGAGTTCTGTATCATTCTTTGATGTCCAAAAACCAGAAACTGCATTGTCACGGTGGGCAAGGGCAAGGACAAGAGCAGCTAAGGTATTAGTTCAATATTCCAATGATTTCAGTTTTCTCATAATTCAAGTTAACCTTAGTCATTGTCTTCTTCTTGATGTTATTTATTTGGGGTCAAACTGTTGGTGCTAACTGCTAGTTGTCGTTTTTTTATAAAGGTTGGGAAAGGTTTATCCAAAGATGACAAGGCACAAAAACTAGCACTGCAACATTGGCTTGAAGCTGTGAGTCCTTCATTCTGGTCCCTTCTTGGTAATTATATACGTGTGGAAATGGAGTACCCTTTTTAATTTGTGGTCAGGTCGATGTTAACGGAGTTAATTCCTTGTTGTTTGGTGTACAGATTGACCCACGTCATCGCTATGGACACAATTTGCACATGTACTATGATATTTGGTTTGCAAGTCAAAGCACTCAACCATTTTTTTACTGGTTAGCTCTTGTTCTGAGATGTCTATTTCTCCTACATTGTTCTGAGACAGTAAAAGGATAAGGTTCAGAAAGGTGTTTTAATTTGGTGCTTTAAAATACATAGGTTGGATGTTGGCGATGGCAAAGAAATAAATCTTAAGATGTGCCCGAGGAACACTCTACAAAGCCAATGCATTATATATCTTGGACCAGTAAGTTATCTCTGAACAATCCCACGTTTGTTTTTTCACAAAAGCACTCTTAAGCCAACCTAACACGTGTAATAATAACATCGTTTCCCTCTCTTGTTACCATTTCAGAAAGAAAGGGAAGAATATGAAGTGATAATTAAAAATGGAAAGCTAATCTACAAAAAAGATGAAAAGCTTGTGAACACTGATGAGAAATCCAAATGGATATTTGTTCTTAGCACCACAAGGGCCATGTATGTGGGAAGAAAACAAAAAGGCACGTTTCAACACTCAAGCTTTCTTTCTGGTGGCGCAACCACAGCAGCTGGCAGATTAGTGACCCATCAAGGTGCCCTTGAGGTACAATACCCAACACTGCATGACACAACATAATCATAAGCATAACCAAAGTTATTATTATAATAAATTAAATTTTGTTACACGTATAATAATGCAGGCTATTTGGCCATATAGTGGTCATTATCAACCAACAGAAGAAAATTTCAAAGAATTTATAACCTTTCTCGAGGAGCACAAAGTAGACCTGACCAATGTAAAGGTAAATGTTTGGTCATCTCACCAATAGCAAACTAAACTGCCCATGCTACCAACTTATTTAAGCAAATTTATGAATATCTAAAAGTTGATTTTTTTGCTTGATTCATGCAGAGATGTGCTATGGATGATGATACTCCTTCCGTCATTGGCACTAATTCATTTAATGCTGCCAGTGATGAATCACAACAAACTATGGGCCCCACTCTAATTTCTCAGACAGGCCCATTAAGAGCAATCAACATGAATGATAGCAACGTGAACAAAAAGGATGATGATGCAACAACATTCGACCTTGCCAAGAGGTTGTCTTGTAAGTGGTCCACTGGGGCTGGGCCTCGTATTGGGTGTGTTCGGGACTATCCTGGACATTTGCAATCGAAAGCGTTGGAGCATGTCAATTTGTCTCCAAGGCCTACTTCTGCATGCTTGAGCAACTATGGCCCAATTCCTTCTCCCAGGCCCAGCCCAAAAGTGAGGATGTCCCCCAGGCTTGCATATATGGGCTTGCCCAGTCCAAGAAACCCAATTCCAGCTGCCAGTCAAAGATGAGTGGTGGGGAATTAAGACTAACGTTGACGAAAATTGGTCAACTTTGCTGTGGTCAAAGTCGAGGAGCACGGGGCGACATGACAACTGGTATACGATGAGAATACAACTTTTCTCTAATTAACCATTTTTGTTTCAATTTGAAGTTCGTTTATTTCATTTTTTTAATAATTTTGATTTTAGGGAAAATTTAACCCTTCATTATTGTTTTGCCTCTTTCTTTTTTGGGAAGGCACAAATTTTATTTATTTTTTATTTAAACCGAGCACAAATTATAAAACATGATATATTGAGCTTATCTGTTTTTCCTTTTCGATTTCTCTTTTACAAAGATTTTAATAAAAATCCCAAATTTTTGGAACTTCTAAGGAAAGTGAGCAACGAGGAATGTCAATTCACTTAGTTTGTAAGTCATGGTATATCCAAGTCAAGGTCAAAAAGTCATAAGACCCAAAGATTTTGATATATAGAGAGATAACCATCAAATTCAGAAGGTCTCTCGTGGGTTAGGGTGGATTTATTAGTTTAAAATAAAATAAAAACTTTATTTTTTAATTAACTTGCTCGGATGCGACTCACTTTAGTATCTTGATAAATAGATAATTAATTAATATAAAATAAAAAAGAGGCAAGCAAAATAAGTCGCAAGTAGTAAAATATTGATTCATTTAGTTTAGGGTTTATGAAGTAAAATATTCATTGCTCAAGTATACATTGGTTCGGTACGTTACTTACAAATATGTTTAGACTTACAGTAGACATCGCAGAGTAACATTAAAGTTTTTGTTCTTTCTATTTTCTATTATTTATCTCAAAGAGGTCGTCAACAACTATTTTATCTCAATTAATGAACGCTAAAGATGGAAAACATGGTGACAAAAATTACCCAACAATGATTTTGTTACTTTATGTTCTTTGTCAGACACTTGCAATGTTGGGAAAAATATGCGGAATCTTCCCATGTGGTCAGATCTGTGAAAGTGAAATAAAAGCGGAATAATTGCACACACAAGTTGATAACGGAGTTCGGCCAATAATGCCTACGTCTCCGGACTACTACAGATCTCTTTCTGGGAGAAAAGAAAATACACAAGTGTTTACAAAACACTCTCAAAATACTCACAACTCACAACCCAATTACACCCAGAAGCTAAACTAAAACTCTCTAGTTTTTCTGTCTCTCACTGGTGCCACTCTTTCTTCTCTAAGAGAAGTAGTATTTTGTGTGGGATGGGGATAATTTTGCTTGAAGGAAGAAGACCAATTTATAGCAAAAATTGGTACTGTGCATTACAATAAAAAAATGCCTCGTGAGCACCTCATGCTTGAATAAAAAAATTTGCACCCACCCTTTTCTTCCATTCTTTCGGTGCAAGTGAGAAAGTTACCTACTTTCTTTGACCAACAATCTCCCACTTGAGGACCGATTTCAATCTGTCCTCACACCTTGATCAATAGTAGTCTTCTCTTGTCTGTTATCCTTGTAAGCTAACTGAAGTTGAGCACAACTTCAGTTTGTCAATAGTCACCACCTTTGTTAGCATATCTGCTGGGTTCTTACTTCCCACAATTTTCTTCAATGTTAGCATCTCATCCTCAAGTAGAGATCTGATAAAATGATAACGTATGTCGATGTGTTTGGTTCCGGAGTGAAATGCTCGAATTTTTTGCCGGATGTATTGCACTCGACTATCACCGTGCAAAACACTCCTTTCTTGAATGAATCCCAACTCGCCAACAATCCTTGAAGCCATATCAATTCTTTACTAGCTTCATCATCGCTTACATACTCAGCCTCCGTAGTGGATAAAGCAACAATCTTCCGTATCCGCGACATCCAACTAACAGCTGTAGTTCCAACAATGAACACATACCCAGTGGTGCTTCTTCAGTGATCAACTTCACCTCCAAAGTCCGCATCTACGTAGCCTCGCAATTTTAGATCTCCCTTTCTAAAATACAAACATTTTTCTGTTAGTGCCTCGTAGATACCTTAGAATCCATTTGATCGCTTCCCAATGAGCTTTTCCTGGATTTGACATGAATCCGCTTACAACTCCCACTGCATGGCCAATGTCCGGCCTCGTACGTACCATCGCGTACATCAAACTTCCAATGGTCGAAGCATACTGAATCTTAGCCATTAACTCTTCTTCTTCCTTTGTTTGAGGAGACCGATCCTTGGATAGACGAAAATGGCAAGCCAAAGGTGTATTGACTGGTTTGGCATTGTCCATGTTGAATCTCTCGCAAAACACGGTTGATGTACTCCGCTTGAGATAACCGCAAAACTCCTTTTTGCTTATCTCTCGTGATTTGCATTCCAAGAATCTTCTTTGCTGGGCCTAAGTCCTTCATGTCAAATTCTTTTGACAACTCGCTTCTTTAAGTTTATGATCTCATTCATATTTGAACCTCGCTACTAGCATATCATCAACATAAAGTAGCAAAATGATATAACTCGGACTTATACCTCTTGAAGAAACAATGATGATCGCGTTGCACTTCGAAAACTCTCCTTGTGCATGAAGCTTTCGAACTTCTTATACCACTCGTCTTGGAGCTTGTTTCGAGCCATACAAGCTCTTTTTCAATCTCGCACACCAAGTTCTTCTTTCCTTCGAAAAACCTTCAGGCTGGTGCATGTAGATCTCCTCATCTAAATCTCCATGAAGAAATGCGGTCTTCACATCTAATTGCTCTAGGTAGAGCTCCTCACTAGCCATAATACTTAACACAATCCCGATAGTATTGAGCTTTACAACCGGAGCAAAGATTTCAGTGTAATCGACTCCTTCTTTCTGCTGAAATCCTTTGACGACCAGTCGAGCTTTGTATCTCTTAGAACCATCATGGTCTTCCTTCACTCGATACACCCATTTGTTGTGAAGTGTTTTCTTTCCCATAGGTAACTTGACTAGTTCCCATGTCTGATTTGAGATTAAAGACTTCATCTCGTCTTTCATGGCAAGCTCCCACTTGCTAGCATCCGTGGCTTGACAAGCTTTCGTATAATCTTCAGGCTCCCCTCCATCAGTCAACAACATATAGTCCATGTATCTCCTGTTAGGCACATGAGGCCGAGAAGACCTTCTCAATACAGGAGTTGGAGTAGGAGGTTCTCGCTTGCACATCAAGTTCTTCAACCGATTCCTCCGGTCGAGGACTCCTCATTATAGGACTTTCTCGGGATATCTTCCACCTCCGCATAAACCGGCCCACTCGCTTCGAGTTGCCGGCACTCGTATTATGCTTGTCCTTGTACATCACTCTTTCATTGAAGATTACGTCTCGCTCGCGGATCATCTTTTTGTTTTCATCGTCCCATATGCGGTAGCCAAACTCATCTTCACCATAACCAAGGAAAGTACATTTCTTTGATTTTGGATCAAGTTTGTTTCCGCCTTGATCACCGATATGCGCATATGCTACACGACCAAAAACTCTAAGATGTGAGAGTTTTACCTCTTTTCCGCTCCATACCTCTTCCGGTATCTTGTGTTCCAATGGTACCGATGGACTTCGGTTGATCAAGTAAGCCGCTGTGTTGATCGCTTCGCCCAAAACCGCTTTGGTAAGCTCGACCGCACACGCATGCTTCGGCCCTTTCGATCAACGTTCGATTCATACGCTCGCCTACACCATTGTGTTGAGGCGTACCGCACACGGTTCTCTCCATTCCGATTCCGTGCTCATAGCAAAACTTCTTGAATCTGGTGTCTACATATTCACCACCATTGTCGGATCCGAGCTTCTTAATCTTCAATCCTGTCTCATTTTCCACCATAGCTTTCCAAATCTTGAAAGCTTCAAATACTTCGACTTATATTTCGGAAAGTAAACCCATACCTTCTCGGAGTGATCATCAATGAAAGTCACGAAGTAATGTTTCCCACCAACGGATGGGACAGTTGTTGGACCCCAAACATCGAGTGGATGAGCTCAAGCTTCTCTTTCTTTGGGGTTCTTTTACTTGTCTGAAAGCCGACTCTCTTCGCTTTCCAAGTATGCAGTCTTCACACATGTCAATATCTACTGATCGAAGACCTGGTAATTTTCCTCTCGAGTGCATGACCTTCATTCCTTTCTCACTCATATGTCCAAGTCTTTGGTGCCATATGTTGGAATTTTCATTTGCCGTAACTCGCAATCAAATGACATGCTCCTGCAGTCTTGTAGAGAGTTCCACTCTTTTTGCCTCGAGCAATCGTCATCGCACCTTTTGAGATCTTCCATTCATCACCATGGAAGATTGTCGTATAGCCTTCACTAGCTAATCGACCTATCGAGATTAAGCTCTTTGTCGGTCGGGAATATGTCCGACATTTTTCAATTCCCATACGGACCCATTCAGCTTAATCCTTACCGCACCTTTGCCTACAATCTCACATGACTCGTTCATTACCAAGGTAAACCTTACCAAGGTTTCCGGAACATAATTCTCCAACAGTTCCTTCCGTGAGGTAGCATGAAAAGAAGCTCCGAGTCTAACACCCAAGACTCCTCCCCGCCTTCAAGAGAGCATATCAACGCCTCATCTTTTCCCGAGGTGGAGACAACGTTTGCTTCGTCCTTTGCTCCTTGATTCTTCCGTGCACTCTTGCACTCGGTTTCCGAAGTGTCCGGTCTTCCCACAATTCCAACACTCGATCGTTTTTGAGTTGTGGGAACTACGATGATTTCCGGACTTGGACCGCCCTGTCCTTTGATTTTCCCTGTCCAATTTCTTTGGTTGAACTTCTTCCTCTTGACTCGTATGCACATCGAAGAGGTTGATGCTTCACCCGACTCTCTCCGCCGGATCTCTTCGCCGAGAACCAAATTTTGAACATCATTAAATCTTAACTTATTATTTCCCGATGAGCTACTTACAACTCGTGACCGTAGCATTCCAACTCTCCGGTAGGGAAGACAAAAGTATTAAAGCATGTACTTCATCATCGAATTTGATGTCAATAGAACTCAACTGGGTTGTTACGGTGTTGAGTTCATTGAGATGATTT